AGGTAGTGAATTCGGAGTAGAAAAGATAGTACAAATTTTATAGAGGAAGAATGCTACAGAAAGAAATCGAGTATTAGATCAGCGAAGAACTACAGATCGAAAAATACGAATCAACGAAGGTGTAATCAAAAAGATGTTTTACTCAATGAATAAAATATGAAGTAGTTGACGAGAGATTTCTGCATGTGGAATAATAATTTGTTTTTTTATTTGTGACTTTTAAATAGATCAAATAAATTGTATTTAATAAACTTTACATTTAAATTCAGTTTTGATTTAATGGATTTACACTAAAATAGATCAATCAAACTTAATGTGTCAAAACGTTCTTTGTCAAAATTTTAAATTATTTGCACGAAAATCTAGCATTGGCATTTAGCTCTTCCGTTATTTGAGAAATGAGAAAATCTAGTTTGCATTATTGCTTTTTGTTTTAATTGTAACTTATGTAAGCATGAAAAACATATACCCATAAATTTTACTTTTTAGCTTTTGTTTCTACGCAATATGAACAAAATAACAATTAGTAATTTAATATTTGTAAATGTTAAAGTATTAAAACTGAGAAAAATTGAGAAACACAATTGCTATATTGTTATTTCTTTTTTACAGAATAAAAAATTATATAAGTTGTACATACCTGACTTCCCTAACAATATCCATGATGATGTTTGTCGATTTACTAAAAAGGAAATAGAAGAGAACGAAAGGTAAGTTACTGGCTTAAGAGTCAAATTGTTAATATCAGCACTGTAATGAACAACAGAAGCAACGGAAAATTTAAGAAGAATAAAGAGGGGGAAAAGGTAGTAGGAGATGAGAGCGATAAGGAGGAGAAGAAATTTAAGTTAGAGGGGAGCCAATAGATTTAAAATCAGAAGATAAGTCTCTGATAAAAAGTCAGTAACTTTAACTGTTTAACCTTATGTTTTGACGCATAATAAAAATCATTTCTGAAATCAATCTTTTGTTATAAGAGGGCTTCTCCAAAATTATGTTTATGTTCGTTATCTTTGGTTTATCCACGAGATGTATAAAACGTATTAAATATAGATTATATGTAGACTTATTAAATACATTGATGTCACTGATAATCTAAGTTTTAGGCCAGAAGTATAATGTGCCAGAACAACACTTTTTTTAGGCGATTTTTAATATCAATTTTCCTAATTATTACAATTTTATTTTTTGATATTGCCAATATACATATATAATCATATTATATATATTCACTTATTAATTATTTAATAATAATGACAAAATTGTCGAATTCGGAAATTTTTTTTTATCACCATCCTAAGTCCAATATTAAATTAACAATATTAAATTAACATAATTGTATTAACGTATAATGAGATTGTCTAGTGTTTACGATTGTCTCATGACGTATTGCGCCGTTTCTGCCTGCCCGTTGTATCGGACTTGTAAGTAGCGAACTATTTTCAATTATAACTCGGAAACTAAGCTTCGGACAAAATTTTGCAAAAGGAAAAATCGTCTCAGAATTCGCTCAAGAATATGGCATTGCAAGAACATCAGGTTGTATTGAATCATGATATTGCTTCGCATAAGAATGATTACCTTCAAATCTCCGTAACTCAATGAAAATGATCGTACAAAAATAAAAAATAAAATAACAGAATTAATTAATTGGATTAACTTTTCTTGCTTAAAGTGTTTGCAATGGGCTTTATATAAGAAATTGGCATTACTGCTGAAATTCATCGTCTTTGGAGTCATCAAGCTTATAAAGCAAAATGGCGTCTTAAAGTTATATTACTTACTTGTTACTGCGCGAGTGGCCAGGTAGAAAAACAGCTTCAAATATTTCATTTTTCTAAAAAAAATGTGTTTTTGTTCACAACAGTTTCTTTTCAGAATAACTTATAACTGGGCACGAGATCATCGAGTACACCACAAGTACACGGACACAGACACGAATCCACAATAGCAACCGAGGATTCTTCTTTGCTCATGTCAGCTGGCTGATGATGAAAAAACATCCAGATGTGATACGAAGAGGTCGTCAGATTGATATTTATAAGTGACACAATGACGGATTCTGTCTCCGTATTCGGTTGCAAGTGCGCATCAAAAAGTTACTAATCCTACTGTATTAACAACTGGAAATACATCTGCACTTTAGAAACCAAAAGAGAAAATATATTAATATTTAATTCACATTAAGTATCTGCGAATTTTTTTTACAAATTATTACACTTACATTTATTTTACACTTTTTAGTTTTATTACATTTTTATATTTATCCTTCAGCTTCGCAAGCAATAAAGTTTTTTATAAAATAAACAATTCGAAGCATATCGATTAATCTATGCTTTTTTGTAGATGTTTTTTGATACTCAAACATATCTTCGCTTTTCTACTGCTTATTATGTTACCTGTATATGCATGGAACAAGACTTGGTCCAGAGTTTTTGTATCGTAGATTTTTATTCACTACGTCATCAGTTTAAATTTTACGTAGAACAGTGCGGCTCATACCTGGGGCTCGAAACCATATAATGCGTAAAAATGTAGTTCTATTAAAAATCATCATCTGTGTATCAGTAAAAGATAATGCCATATAATCGATTAAGATTCTCGTTATTGATTATCACATATGAGAATTATTTCATATTTTTCGTTTTAACGACAGGAATATAAATCGGACGGACAGCAAACTCACGGCGTTTTTGGCGTACGGCGAGAGATGGCATAATTATCATCACGCGTTTCCGTCGGTCCACAAGACGGCCGAATTGGGCGTTAATAATCTGAATGTCACCATGCTGTTTATTAATTTTTTTGCTAGAATAGGGTGGGCTTACGATCTCAAGCAACCATCGAAAGAGCTCGTGAGAACCGTTGTCATGAAGAAGGGTGATGGAAGTCACTCTTTGTGGGGTGCAGTGTCATATAAGGACAGTAAAATTAAATAACAAGGATACCTTTTTCAAACATTTGTAATCAGCGATTACGCGATTAAAATTTTATTTAGAGATATACATTATTAATACCAATAAATCTATCTAACGCAACTTATAGAGATAAAAAGTACGGCCACAATTCAGAACTGACAATTATTGACAATGTGATGATATTATTGTCAAGGCAGCTAGAAAGAGGAAGATACAAGAGAAACTAACACATGCTAATTTATTTTAATCATATTTTTAATACACAAAACAGTACACAAAAGATCTTTATAAATAAATCTCCTGAAACTCAAAACTTTGTTTAATTGGCATTTCTTTTTAAATTTTTCAACGCCATAAATTAATATGTTATAATAAAGCAGAAATAAATTTTGCAAAAATTGTTACTGTGCACGTCTTCCCTATTATAACACGGATCACAACAGAAATATACTTGCGCTGTTCTACAATAAAGCGGCATCAAGTACCATCTGATGAGAAAAAAAAACAATGTAGTGATATTATACAAACAAGAAAATATAATTAATCAATTCATGTTCTCACAAAGCCCGTTCCCACAAAATCCGCGTTCCAGAAGCCTAATTGTGAGATGTAATCAGAATGGCGTTGATGCTCATGATTTTCTAGATTGCTGCGTTACAAATAAATCTTGAAAATAAACTTCAACGGCTATTTTGCTTTGTAAGATCGAGGGGCCACAATCAAACGAGCACCAATAGCAATATCTATATCCGAAGCGATAGCAACAGTAAAAAATGAAAATTGAAAGCGTTAATCATGTTTTAATGGTAATATAGTAATGGTAAAAAATGAGAGCTTAATGCTAAAAATAATAAATTATTATAGTTTTTCCGGTGCGGCAGAAAAAGAGCGGAACAAATGTTACCTGTTGACACGTGTCGAATCTATAAACAAGAAATATCATTTTATTATTCACACCATTTGATTTTAGCGAGTGTTTTTTAAACTGCGTTTTATATATGCCTTTGCACTGAAAAAATCCATTCACTCTTAAAAAAGACATTTATCGTCTATTTTTCGCCATACGTTATTAAGTGATTGTTATTGCGAAGATTGCATATTTTGATATGTTATATCATCATCTTTCTAGATTTTGTTACGAAAATTTGAGATACGTTGCATATAATAATGTGCACAATTTACAATAAACCTATTTTAGTATAATAAAAAATTTTGGTGTATTGTGATTCCATTTATATAACTATGTGTGCCACTGAACGTTATCTTATTTATCATTATATATTTTGACGATATTTTAATTAATTATTAAAATATTGATTTGTAAAGAACAGGTTTTTTATATTTAATCATTTATTTTAAATGTTACTTTCAATTAATCATAAAAATTATTTACTGTTGCAATAATCGAAGCATTGAATATATTGATATTTTTAATATTGAGATCTGCGAATATTATACAATAAAATAAAAGAGAATCGCACAAGAGTATTCCCATTTAAAACTATTCGAATGTGTCACTAAATGACACAAGTCCCAGACACAGCACGCATGTCTTTAAAGCATCTGAAAGACGTCCAAACAGCATTATTTTTTAAAGACGTCTTTCAGATACATACAAAAATACAAAAAATAAATATAAAACGATTTGGGTACAGTGCCTATGGATATTTGGTCGCACTCAATGTCATTTGTGATCATCAAAGCGACAAATAATGCGTGTTTGTGTGTACAAATGAATACATTCTTTCAATACTCAACAAAGAACATGTTTATTTATGAACAATATTTTTTAAAACAATATATAATTTAATATGTACATATTATGAATAATACGAAAACAATATAATATATAAATTCATATAATATAATATACAAATATATAATATATAAATTCATAGTAAAACAGTAAGAGAAAGATTGCAAAGAAAAGTTACGCTTTTTACCAAAATACATCGGTTACCTCAGACGTTTTCAGTTTTAAAAACTAGGTACATTTATTTTCGTAGAATAAATGTCTAAGTTATCATGATCGTGACACGCTGTTGAATCGTCTGAAAAAGTATTAATCTTCATTACTTAGTTTTATTGTCCGCATCCGATAGTTCGCATCCGATAGTTCGTATCCGATACGATACTCCGATGACTCCCGTCTCCTTTTTTCTTAAGAACAGTTTTCACGAGCTTCTCTGATGGTTGCTTGAAATCGTATGTCCAGCCGATCTTCGCGAATAGGTCAATGTACATTGCGGTGAAATTCCATTTATAATCGCCTAATTCAGACGCCTTGTAGTCCCATGGGAACACATGATGATAATTGTGCCAAGCTTCGCCACACGCAATAATCGCCACGAATTTGTTCTCACGCGAATTTATATCTCTATCGATTAAATAAAATACGAGTAAAAATTTTTTTGTGGCATTCAAAAGAATAGCGAGAATTCTATAAATATTAGTAGCACCGTATTTTTTAAAGACGCAAAAAAAAATTTTTTGCAGTTTTTTCAAAATCGATTATATCAAATCGAGTATATTTAATGCATTTATAATGTCAAATAATTGAAATTAAAGAAAAAATTATTCTGCATTAGTAAATAATCTCGAATATAGTTGTACACTTACGCATTATACGGCTTCGTACCGTACAGATAAGCTGCACTGTTAATGCTCCACGTGCCATTTAAAGAGAGTACATAACAAATGAGTTGTGACATAATGGCCTTGGACCAAGTCTCGTTCCATGCGTACACGAGTATTGCAATCGGTAGGTAGTAAGCGAACAACATTATTAACGAAAAATATCTACAATAAAGAAAAACTTAAACGCTACACATCGTCTCACAAAAGCTCTATTGAAAGATACGGCAATTATAAAAATTTGGAGGAAAATAAACAAGTGTTTATAAATTTTATTCTCTCTCGTACTACTTCTCAAGAGTAAAAATGTATTTCAGAAAGAAGAATAATTAGCAACTCTTCGACGCGGACTTACTTGCGACCGAATGCGAAAACGGGATCGTCCATTACATCACTCATATCAATCTGACGACCTTTTTGTATCACCTTTGGATGCTTTTTCATCATCAGCCAGCCGACATGAGAGAAAAAGAATCCTTGGTTGCTATTGTGTGGATCCGCGTCTGTGTCTGTGTGCTTATGGTGTACTCGATAATCTCGCACCCACTCAAAAGGATTCTAAAAGGGAATCATTATAAAGGAAAACGCTTCTTCCTCGTGATGCAATAAATAATTATCTAAACATTTATCTACCATGCCAGAAATGCAGTAGCAAATAAGGAATATAACTCTGAGCGGCCACTTTGCTTTAAACGATCGGCGATCCAAAAACGATGAGCACCACCGTTCACACCGATTGAATGTAACGTAAAAATTCCGACCAAAACTTGAAGTGAGAAAAATTAATGTAAATAAACAATTTAAGCAATGCCATTATAAAATTGTAACATGGGCTTAACCCATGTTACTAGTTGCGCGATCGGCCACGACGATCGGCCGCGCATCGAGCCGCCGGCCGCAATACGTCACCGGAATGCGGCCGCCGAGTGGGGCGGCCGGGTATATAAGGCCGTCGTTCCGGCCAGTAGGCACTAGGGATGGGCGATCTTTCCAAAAGAAAAGATTTTTTGAATCGATCTAGATCGAAGACTTAAACGTCGATTCGCCAAAAAATCGACTGTCAAAAAATCGATCCATTAAAGATCGATCTTTTTTATCAAATTTTACAAAATATTAAATATTATTTAAGATAACTACTCAATTTTTTATAATTACAGCATATTTTTGTTTAAGTACAAAACAATAATTATTGTTTGTTAATATATGTTTATTATTAATTTTTTACTAACATTCATGTGTGTGTGTGTGTGTGTGTGTGTGCGCGCGCGCGCGCGCGCGCGTGTGTGTGTGTGTGTAAATCCTATTTTTTTGGTTTCACAGTTTTCAAATTATTTATCACATTACTTATCACTGATTACAATGTCAGCATTAGACACGCATTATTAACATTATTCTTAATATTACTGAGTTTATCACTTAAATTTAATACTCAAACTAAATATTGCATATTTTATATATGTATTATTGTGCGATTTTTTTAACTTATAAATAAAAGGATAGACTTAAAACAGGTACGAATGTACCCAGACAGCACGCATGTCCAAAATCGGGACATAAGACGGCTTAAAGACGTCAGTAAGACGTTTTTTAGACACGGTATCTAAAAGACGTCTTAATGATGTCTTTAAGATGTTTTATGTCCCGATTTTAGACATGTGTGCTATCTGGGTAACTTAATCTGAAAGATGCCAATCTACCATATTTAAAGAACTTAAAAATAATAATCTAGAAAGCCTATCGCCTTTCAGCCGATTGCGATTGTCTAACATTATATTACCTGTACGGGAAAAAAGTCGTTCCGAAGGAACCGATGTCGCTATAGTAGACAAGTGTTGAAACTAGTACTTTCTAAAGAGGTCCAGTACTGTATTGGATTCGTTTCTAATGGCAAAATATCTTGACTGAGATAATTTTTCAATTGACTATGTAAGCCAGTCCAAAACCATTTTTCAAAATCAAGTCATTAGCCTTCGCAACTAAACTGTGGGTACTCCACAAACTAGTTGAGTCGACTTCAGTACGCACACTAGTTTGATTTTCGACATTTACTCGTTCATTTTTTGTCACATCTTTAAGTAATTTATTAATTTTATGAATTGCATTACAACATGACAATTGACTTTCAAAGTATAATTTACGAAATCGCGGATCAAGTATCGTTGCAATTGCATAATGCTCATTGTTTTCAATATTATCAAATCTTGCATTAATTTCCTGCAAAATATACTTTTTTAAATGTTTCCCAATATCAGATTCTGGATTTAGCTCGTTTATTTGAACACGTAGTAAATAAATCATAGGAATGACCTTGCTGATTGTAGGATATTTTTCGCCAGATATTTCTGCAGTAATCGTTTCAAACGGTTTTAACATTTTTAGTATTTCTTGAGCAGTTGCTACCTCAAACGCGGATATCATGAGCGGAGAATTGCGTTGATTAATCAAAACTGCACTCACATGATCGATTACTTGCATGAATCTTTCAAGCATATAGTAAGTAGATGACCATCGCGTAGAAACTTCCTGAACTAATTTCAAAGAAGTTCCCGAAACGCTTTGATTTTTACGAAATTCATCCGCCGCAACAACGCTATGTTTAAAGTAACTTACAATTGATTTAATTTTATGAATAAGTAGTTTCAAATCTGGCAGTTTTTCTAACATTTTAGCGGGAATAAGATTTATCGAATGCGAGAAACATGCTACATGTTTACTTTTGCCAAAAACAGTTTCTACTGCTTTTACTATGTTCGCAGCATTGTCTGTTATCACGGCTTGAATTTTACATAACGGAATATTCCAATCCTTACAGACTGTATTTAAAACGGTTCCTAAATATGTTGCGGTATGCTTTTCTTCCAATTCGTATACTCCTATTGACACGGAAATCAATTCACCTTCTAACATAAAGTGGACAGTTACGTCCAAAAAACTGACCGTATTCAGGACTTCGGTCCACACATCGCAGGTTAAGGTAATTGTAGTTGCAGCCGACAGTTTGTTCATCATGAGAAGCGACAGCATTTCATACTTATTGTCCATTAGTTCCGTGAATTGTTTACGAGCAGGAATTTTGTAGAGAGGAGCAATAACTTTTAAAAAGTATTGAAAGCCATTCTTTTCGACCGTGTTTAATGGCATATTATCTTTGGCAACCATGAATAAAAGGGCATTAGTTATTACCGCTGCTTTAGCACCTCCATCTGTAAAATAATTAGTCAATATAATATACTTACTTATCATATTAATAATTGTTTATAAATACACAAGTAAAAAAAAACACACCCACACACACATAATTCTAGCAATCAATTACAATAGTTTACAGCCAAAAATTATTTTGAACCAAACAAAGTGTTATAGATTTTTGAATGCTGAAAACAATGGCGCAAATCAAATTCCACGAGCATGTCAGGTTTTCAGCATCCAAAAATCTATAAGAAACATCTTGTCTAGTGAATAATTATTTAAAAAATATTTTTTGTAAACTACTGTTATTGTTCTAACCTACTTACTTTTTCTTTACAGATTTAAATAATATTAAAATGCAGTTGTTAATAATTTACCTCCAAAAGCTGTGATCATTTTTATTGCAGTACCGTTGCGACGTAGCTGTTTTTTGCGTTTACTAGATA